GCAATTAGGGTTAAGTGACTTGCCCAGGGTCACACAGCTAGTAAGTGTCAAGTGTTTGGTCTGAGCCTGGATTTGAACTCAGGTACTCCTGATTTCAGGGCCAGTGCTCTATCCACTGCGCCACCTAGGTACCCCAGGGAATAGGCTTCTTGCTGAGAAGAAATTCATCTTGTGGGTTGGCAATGTCAGCGAGGATAGACATTTTGGTGAGGAATGAAGTATGCTGTAGTGGTGGGGATCAGTTCACATTAGGCAGTTTTAATTTTCTTCTTCAAGTTAGCAAAGTGGTATCTGATAAGAAACAAAGAAGTTTAAAATATGCAGCATGGTATGAAGTCACACATCTATAGTTCAAATCCAGGCTCTGCCATTTAAACCCTGTGTGGCTTTGCGCAAGTTGCTGAAGCTCTCTACTTTGCTTTCCTCATCTGTAAAATTAAGGGGTTAGGCAAGATAACCTCTAAGGTCTTTTCTAACTCGATATCTATGACTCTTTCAGCTGGCTACTGAGGACTCTAGCATTTCTTCTAGTAGAATTATTTCCCACTCAACTACTTTCCTGGACTTCACCATCTCCAGAAACTCATCATTCTACAAGATGAAAGCAAGTGGGAAACTCACATCTCCTCAGCAACCCCTGCCTGTGGTTGGAAGGGTTGAAGGTGGACATCTGGAGCTCCTTCTTCATCTTCCTCCATTTAAGGATGGCACTCAGGGAATTCTCATCATTTCCCACCTAGCTACTTTCCTGGACTTAATCATGTCCAGAAACTCATTCTGAAAGATGAAATCAGCTCAGAAATTCCTATCTCCCTGGATCATTTCCAACCCCAGCTGATGTAATACAGGTAACCTCTGTTTCCCTAACCCTCCCCTCTGGCTTTTCAGTTTCTTTTTATGTATTGCTTCCCCCATTAGACTGTGAGTTCCTTATGGGCAGGGACTGTCTCATGCCTTTCCTTGTAACCCTAGCACTTAATATAGTGCCTAGAACACAGTAGGTACTATATAAATTTTATTGGCTCTGATTGAATGCTTTTCCACACCTAGAATGGTCTATAGCAGTGATTCCTTAATTACTTCCTCCACTAAATTTCATTAATCTCCTTTTATTTGTCAAATGTGGCTTCCCTTAATTCATCTCACACAGCCAACAACTAAAATCAAAAGAGAGGTACGTTCAGGAACTTAGATGGGGAAGAGAAGGTTGGGAAAGAAAGCTGATGAAGACAGACAGGTGTCCTGACATCCTGCAAGCCTGTGCATAGGATATTTGGGAAAAAAAGGAGGTAAACTCTTGTAATTATGTTATCATATATCAGATTAAGACTTATATTGGATAGGACTTTATAGAATGATTCCAAAGGTTGGATAATGTGCCTTGCTATGAACAAAAGCAAGATGAGAAAGTTTTATGAATCTTGAAATAAGTGCGACATGTCTGACACATGGAAGACACTTATTAATTGCTTATTTATGATTTTATTCATTTTGCCTATTATCTGACTCTCTAGTCATTACCTAGAAAATATTTAAAAGAAATAAACAGCATTTGTTATCAGAATGATTAAAATGGGCAAAACACAAGAAGAAAATCCCAATGTGTCAACAAATTTTAGAAAATATTTTCTAGTCGTAAGTAACCAAAAGCATGAAGCAGTTTTAATTTTATAACGTCTGAGTGCCCCCTAATGGCTAACCAAGTGCTTTACACTAAGATACACTAACCCCTTTTAAAAGTGTCCTGTTACCAACTTTCTTAATGACCTTACTTAATTAAGAAGATAAGTGTGATTTTATGTATTACTTATATTTTGAAACATAAAATTTCTGGTTTCATCTAAAAAGTAGTTGCTATGGTAGATTTTATAGACAATACTAATTTGTTAAGCCAAATAAAAAGATGAGTGTGTGTGTGTGTGTGTGTGTGTGTGTGTGTGTGTGTGTGTGTATTTTTTTAAATGGCTGTAAGATACCTTTAAAATCAGGTATGTTGGTTTATTGATTCTCTGACAAAGTCAATTAAACAAAAAGAAATAAATTAATGAAACTGAAACTGTACCGTTAGCTAGAATGCTAGTGACCTCCACTGGCTGTTTCTGTTGCTACAAGACTATAAAATGCCACACACATAGCATCCTGCTTACTGTTCCAGGGAGATTCAGTTGTGACTTATGATACCTTTTCCCCAGGCAACTATATTACATTAGCACATTCTTTTCTTTTGGAAAAAAATGTTATCTCTATCCAACCATTAAACTTAAGTTATATGTCAGACTGTTAAAATATATTCTCAGTTGAGTAAATGAATCCAGGAGAGTAAAAATAGTTTTCTGGTGAAGGTAAAACAAGACAATGTTTGTCAGAGAAGAGGAAGCTCTGGCATGCACCTCTGAACAAAAGGGAACAAGTGGTCTTTACTCAGAGAGCAGCTTCCTATTAAGACTCACTCCTTCGTACATTATGCCTTTCATCCCCACTCAACCACAAAATGATTTTGCTGTAGGAAATACAATAGTAGAAAAAGATTTACATTGAAAGAATCTTTAATAATAAACTGTTGCAGATCTGCCTACTTCCCCATGATTTATAATACAATAAACATCGGATTCTATTAAGTCTCATGCACTGAAGACACTGCACTGAAAAACTGACTATGAAAGGACTCAATTCTTCCCTTCTCCACTTCCATAATAATGAAATGAGCATGTATAAATGTGCTAAGAGTATCTCTTTGCATCTTTTATAGCTTGTGTGTATTAATCTGTAAAGCTTATTAAGAAAGTCATTGCTATGCAAAGCAGCACCCAATCTCTTTCTCTTGGTTTTCAACAGAGTGCAGTGTTTAGCCAATAGGACTGGTCCTCTGCCCCTCATTCCGCATTCATAACATGCAACATTTGCACAATGTATCTCTCAAAGGCTGCTGAATAGAAAGCCTTAATACTCATGTAAACAACTGCAAACCAATTACTTAATGAATCAGGCCCACACATAATGAGGTGCCAGACAAAGAGCTATAAATGCATTTTTGCGCCCAAGCCTCTGCTTTAAAGTAAAATCCCTCAGCTGTAGTTTGGGCTTAACTGGCACATCATAATTATTGTCTCTAGGACATCAGAGGAAGCCATTTTTTATTTAGGTCCAGCAGGGTCTTTTTTGAGGTCACTCATCAGCTCACTGACAAAATAGAGCAAAGAAGAATTTTTAAAAGTACTACAGCAGTCCTGCACTGTTATGTTTATTCTCAAGTACTGGATTTCAAGACCACTTGTAAAAGCAATAAAGCACAAGAAGTGACTGCAATAAGTGGAATCCTTAAATGTAAGCCTCGAAGAAATATCAGTGTGCCCCAATCACAAATAAGCAACAACCCGAGCTCTCTGGTACAATATTGCATGTTTCTTTTCTTTAAAAACAAAAACAAGAACCCAAACACTGAATTCACAGACCTCCTCAGTATAGAATTAATGTCAAGTACTCAGAATCAACTATTCCTAACAAACCATGTTTTTATTTAAGCGTCATATTATGTCATTTGTATAGAAAAACTATCATGCAATAACAATAAAGACTATATTCTCTTCAACTGAAAGAAAAGACAACAAAACCTGATTTTGGTTGTATGAATTACAGGTATCAGCAACATAGGACACAACTAAAATTGCACAAAATTGGCTTCTAAAATTCAATTGCTTTAGAAAAAATTCACTGAAATACATGTATAAAGACCAAGTTTAAGAATTAACTTGCCCACTATATATAGATTCAATGAAAAAACTTAAAATAACCTTTATAAACTAAGATTTGCACGATTACTCCAATGGTAAAACTGACAGAGTATTTGAAGAATTTTCTATCTCTTCATATTCTCTCTGAAAGGTCCATGCTTTTAATTTATAGGATCATTATTTTAAAAAAGCTGTTCTTTTTTTTAAAACTACTTATTGCAAAATATTAAGGCTTACTTGCGCAGAAAAAAAAACACATTTACTATTACTGTGAATAAAAATTTAAAACTTCAGAGTATTAATCTGAATATTGCAACTTGTCAAGTTTTTATGAAGAACAGAACTTAATTAAAAAAATCAAAGTTTTTCCTTGTCCTTATTTAGAAAAAACCTATTTTCATAGAAAAGCAGATTTCAGAATATTATTTTTTAAAAAACCATAAAAATTTATGTTTAAAAATAACTATATATGTTAACTGAAATACAAAATACCACAATATTGTAAAGGATATTTATCCCAACAAGGCATTATAGTCCACCACAGACTTTACTCTAATTTTTCCTCAAGCATTTAAGTTAAAGCAAAGGAGTATTTTGGCTTTTTACATTTTCCTCTACTGATTCCTCAACAGTAACCTGATTATGACTGCTTGATTAGTATTTCACACTGATGAAAAACCAAGGGAACAACAAAGTAAGAACTGGAAGTGTTTTGGTTAACACATATTAAAAAAAGACAAATTGTGTCCTTTAGGAAAACTAGGTAATTAAATGTATTCAATTTGAAAGCAAAAGGCAGATAAAAGTATAGTCCAGCACTAAAGATAAAAAAAAAAAAGGAACACTAAAATAAGTATCCAGCTATGACTAGTTTATATCTCAGAAGCCTCTAGAAGAAGAAATGCACCTCTTTATTTTTCCAAGACTTTATGTTCTATATCTGCCCTTTTCCTGACAACTTCCATTGTCTGGTCTCTAAGTAGCCCTACTGCGAGCAGCTGTACACGCTAATTTGTGGTTCACTGAGATGTCAATTGAGTCTTAAAATGAGAAAACAACAGCTGCAAAACAATACCTGGCTTTGGTGCAAATATTTTCAAAGGTGTACTAAAGTTTAAGCTGCTATTTTTACATAAACAAAAACACAAAAATTAACCCTTCATCAAGTTTCAAAACAAAATAATATATAGTCAGTTTTATTCATTTTCTAGTGACATTTCTCATCTTGTTAAAGCCTTTCAAAGAATGTAATGCTTTTCATGACTTTACCTTGACAAAGGACTTCCTTCACTAGATGAAAAACTAGCTTCTGAACCGATTTCGTTACTTGTCTTTGTCTTGAAAGTACTGCTGCCAATATTCAAGCCTGTGGTAAGTAAAAATGCTAAATGTAAATGTTTAGTTGATCCTCAACAATGAAATGAGATGAATAAAAAAGAAGACACAATAACTTTGGGAAGACTGTCAAGAGAAGAAATTACTCAGGCACAAAAATAAGGAACCTTCATACACTGGAAAAAGCACATGGTGGAATATCTGTAGGTAGTGATACTTAGACAAAGCAAAAATAAGGAGAGAATAAAACAGCCACAAATGTTCTAGTTTGAATGACGATAAATGACTAGAGAAGCCTTATGAATGTTTTATATCAATGTGTAATAAATAAGTTTTATGATACATGGCCAGGGATCATGTACCACAATAAATGATATTGAGTCAGACTTGAAAAATGACAGACTTTCTTAGACTGAACTACCTATGTCACTCACCCTCAAACCTCAATGCAAAATCTCCTATCTTTCTGGTTGAGAATAACAAAATGCAATTCCCACTATAACCCACCAAGGACACTCCTTAACTAGTCTGAAAGGTCACTGCTGGGCAATATAAAAGTCAGTCTTTTCCCAGGAGTCTGGTGAACTGTCACCATGGTGCTTCTAGCCTGTGGACGGAATCCTTGACTCCTGCATCTTTATGATCCTCTCTCCTGTACATTTTTGCTACAAGTTTTGCTCCTAACAGCTAATTGCTGAGAATACAGACCAGAGAGAGATCTCTTTGAGAAAAAATCTGTTAAATTTCTGATCTGCATAGTCTATAAGCTTAGTCCATTTTAACCTCAATAGTAAAACGATTCTAATGAAAATTTACATCTGTCAAGCACACTACCAATATCAGAGTTTAATGAGCCAGGGATTACTGAGAGGGGACACTGAGGCACAAAGCATAAGTCAAATAACTAGTCCAAGGGCAAAGCAAAGAAAATCAGACATCTAAGGCTGAAAACCTCACTAGTTAGACTTCTTGACATCATGTATACCAATCTGCACAAAAACATATTTTTTTTCCTTTTTCCCCACCAAATATCTATTCTTATTCTTTAGGTCACTGGTTTACTTGAGTAAAATTTGCTGAAAAAAGTTTATATGTGACAACAGTTGAAAGAGATGAACAGGAAGATACAGAGATCATAACTCCATTAAAACACATTAAATCTGAAGCACTTTCAGAATCTTAATGCAAGAAAATATTGTAAATGGTGCAGTGTGGTCAAATGGATAAAGTAACTTAGCCAGTCTGCAGACTGTTTTATTTTACATGCCTCGTGAATCCAATTCAGTATGTGGCCATGGACAAGGAACTTAATTTACTTTAGGCTAGTCAGCTACCACCGCTCTGCCACATACTGAACACTATCAAAATATTTAAGGAATGGCTCAGATGGTATAACAATTCTAGGTAATAATTTATTTATATCTTGAACCTGGATAATTTTGTACACAAAATAAACTTTGTTTTTTAAGTGAAATTTTATTTTTTTCTAATTATCAATAATTTATTTCCCTCTCCCTCCCACTAGAAAAAACAAAACCCTAGTAACAAATAAGCATAGTCAAGCAAAATAAATTCTCACATTGCCTATGTCCAAAAATGTCTCTCATTTTGCATATTTGTTAATTATTCCTTTGTCAGGAGGTAGATAACATGCTTAATCATCAGTCTTCTGGAATTATAGTTGATCACTGCATTGATCATTTATTATTTCAAAATTATTTCTTTTTACAATTTTAACATTATAATATAAATTGTTCTCCTGGATCTGCTTATTTCATTTTGCATCAATTCATGGAAGTTTTCCCAGGTTTCAAAGAAAAGTTTATACAAAAATGACTAAGAGACCTAATTCTGTTACTGAATAGCTGTGCAATATTTGGGAAGGTCACTTTATCTCCTCATTCCTCAGCTTCATCATCTGTAAAATGAGGGTGTTAAAAGATCAGATTTTTGTGTTCCTATTTTTGTGATCCCTATGATAATTCTAGTGCTACGGACAAAATCTGCCCAGCTATGTCAAACCACCATATGTAGACAGGAAGACTGTGATTATATCTAGTTGTAGGTCTAATATGTACAGTAATTATGAAGGAGAGTGATGAGTGTAAATGATATTCAGTCAGTCAGTAATCATGTATTAAGCACTTACATGCAAAGGGTTGTGCTGGGAATACAGAAGAGGCAAAAACATGGTCCCTGCCCTCAAGAAGTCCACATCATCAACATACATAGAAGATATAGGTAAAGAGAAGTAATTTCAGAGGGAAGGCAACAACTATAAAATGACAGAAAAATACCTGTGATTTTTATTTATAAAAAATCACAGGGATGGCACTATTAATAGTACTGTGGTTTATTGCCCACACTTATAATGGAAGGAAATGCCACATTTTGGTTAGAGGTTAGTGAAAAACAAGGGTGTAATTTTTTTCCCCATCCAAGTTCATGGATTCCCCTGAAATATATCCCATGGGCCTTTTGGGGTTCTATAGACACCAAGTTAAGAACCCTTGGATTAGATTATTGCTAGGGTCTTTTCTAGCACTAAAAAACATCTATAATTCCATTTCATGATTATATGACCCTCTGTCTACTGCCTTTGTGCCTTGGGACTTGCAGCTTTCAGTATCTGGAATTTCTTTTCTTTTCATTCTTCTCAAGTTTTCTTCAAGACTCAGGTCAAATGTCACCTTCTCCAAGAAGTGTTTCCTGATCCTCAAAGCTGCTGCTGTTCATCTTACCAAAACTACCTTGTATTCATTTTGAGTATACTTTCTATATTCTTATATATGTATATGTTGCCTCCTCTGTTAGAATGTAAATTTTTTGAGGGCAAGAACTGGTTTATTTTTGTCTTTGAAACCCTGGCATAATTCTTGGCACATAGCATGCAGTAATGCAATGCTTGTTGATTGGTTAACAAATAACTAATTGCTAATGAACAAATTACTACTATGTCTGCCAGGCTTTTAAGAATTAATGCACTTCCCTATAACTTACCCGCCAATTGCAATTCAGACACAGCTCCCATTTTTTCCTTTTGGTATCTTTCTTCAATTTGGTTTTCATTATTTTGTAATGTGGACTGCTTCAATAATTGATATGCTTTTGTTTCTGCAAATGAAAAACATATGAAAACACTGAAACCTCTCTTGTCCACAAAGATGTATTATTCTTTTAATTCTGCTAAGGAATTTCTTTTTTACAGAGTAAATTTAAGAAGGCTTTTAATTCCTTTTTTTTTTAACCTGGCTGAATTTAAGAATGTAATCAGAATTCTAGACTTTAACGCAGGATAGGAAAAAATATGAAAAAGCAGAACGTGCGATGCCATACCTTTGGTTAAACCTTTGAATAATGCACGTAAACAAACATTTCTTAATGTATCAATTTTGTGTAATACCAGAGGTAAAAAAACCTGATTAAACCCAGTGGACTTGAAAACCATAAATCTTGAAACGCTGATATGTCGGTATAGTTAAGAGGCCCAATGTTTATCAGTTTCTCTCAGTGGTTCTGGAGACAGGGCCACAATCAAGCTGGCATCTCCCCTTCTACTCCAGTCCTTTCAGCAGGTGCAAGAAAGTCAGAACAGAGAATGATGCTCTCACAAGTTTCAAAGTTACCTCTTTATGGAATGTTTTCAGTTATCTTATATCTGGGTTTGGGGAAGGAACCAGATTTTTGCCTTTCTTTGTATTCCCAGTGCATGGCACAATGCCTGGTTGATGATAAACACTAAATAAATGCTTGTTGACTGATAGGAGATCTATGAGTGAAGCCATACAATATTGCTAACATATGATTTGGGTGGGGTCTGGGTGGCTGTTGTTCAATTGTTTCAGTTGTCTGACTTCGTGACCCCATTTGGAATTTTCTTGGCAAAGATATTGGAGTGGTTTGCTATTTCCTTCTCTAGGTAATTTAACAGATGAGGAAACTGAGGCAAACAAGGTTAAGTAACTTGCCCTGGGTCACACAGCTAGTAAATGTTTGAGGCCAAATGTGAACTCAGGTCTTCCTGATTCCAGGTCTAGCACTACCAAGTGTACCACCTAGTTGCCCTGGGGTCTGGGTAGTAGCAATGATAATAATAGCTAATAAGATAATAATAGCTGAGTCGACTAGATGGCAAAGTGGATAGTCCAGGCCTGGAGTCAGGAAAATTTAACTTCGAATCAGGTCTCAGACACTTATTAGCTGTGTAACCCTGGTCAAGTGACTTAATCTCTGTTTGTATTGGTATTCTTGGCTATAAAATGGGTATAATAGCACCTACCTCCCAGGGTTGTTATAAGGATCAAATGAAATAATATTTGTAAAGCATTTAACATAGTGCTTGGCACATGGTTAAGTGCTATATAAATGTTTATTCCCTTCCCCTAATATATTGTCATATATGCTCGTATTGCATTTTAAGATTTGCAAAGTGTTTTGTTTAATTTGAGCCTTGCAATAATGCTGTGACATATTGCTAAGTGTCTGAAGCAGGATTTGAAATCACGTCTTCCTGATTCCAAGTTCAGCACTTTATCCACTGCACCACCTAGCTGACAAGATTATGACATGGATAGAGCAGACAGTATGGCAAGGGGAGATTTATGTCCAGGTTAAGTAATAGTTGTAGGACTAGAAGGCAAAGGAACACAAATTCTGATGTTCAAGAATATCCGAAGCACAGTTGTTTTGTTTTGTTGTCTTGTTTTATGGGAGAATGAAAAGCCCAAGTGTCTATATAAGGAGAACAAGATAACAGGCTTGGTACACTGAATTTTTTAAAGGCAGCCAGGGGGTGCCACAGTGCACAGAGTATGGGGCTTAGAATCAGGAAACGGGAGTTCAAATAAGGGCACAGATACTGAGTAGTTGTGTGACTCTGGGCAAATAATTTAACCTCTGTTTGCATCAGTTTTCTGTAAATAAGGGTAATAACAGTACCTACCTCTCAGGGCTGTGAGGATCAAATAGGATAATATTTGTAAAAAGTGCTTAGCACAGTGCCTGGCACATGGTAGATACTATATAAGTAGTTATTCTGTTCCTCCTTCCTTTCTATCCCTTCTGAGTCTGCCTTTTTGTTTGTTTGTTTGCAAAATGGAGACAAAAGTTAAGTCACCTTATAAAGTTTCTGGAAAAAGCAATTAAGAAAATTTCTGCAAAAGACTTAAGTAAGCAATGTGCTGACCTTACTATAAACAAACATTTATTGCAAAGACACAAGTATTAAACTGAAGACACCAAATATCAAGTGGGGATGAGAAATTTAAATTTTTTTACAGGCAGAATTTAAGAACAGACTTTCTTTTCTTTTATACTAAAAGATACTAATATCAAAACAATGAAATGCTACACTAATTGAGTACAATTAAAATGAAAAACTGGATGTCACACTTTAAACTTTTATGTTACAAATAATCCACAGAAATGTAAGATCAGTGATTCTTGACCCTAAATGTTACACAGTTTTAGGTGTTCCACAATTATTTCAAGGGGCACTGTGAAATTCTTCACAAACATTTCTTTAAAAGTAAAATCATTTTCACTATGCTTTAATATTAAAATTATATACCACACACTACTTTAAGGAAAGAAGACATTCGCAGGATCATAAATTAAGAGCTAAAAGGCATTTTAGGGATCAGTGAGTCTAATATCATTTTATATAAAAAGATACTGAGGCCTAGAGAGAGGAAATGATTTGCATGATGGGAAATGGGTACATGATATGACAGGGAGTAAGTACAGAATAGGGATTTGAATTCAAGTCCAAATTTTCTGACTAAAATTCTAGCACTCTTTCATTGAAATGTACTGTCCCTACTTTCCTATCCTTTTGACTTCCTTCCTTTCCCCATATCACCTCATTCCGTTCCTCCATTCCTTTCTTTTATATCCTATAACCACACTTTCAATCCCCTTCCTTCACATCCGTGAACTATCAACTTCTTCCATATTTCTCCACATTTCTCCTTTCCCACTCCCCACCATCTCTACCACTTCATTCTTCTTTGGGGGTCAGCAGATTATCAAGATTAAAAAGCATGGCAATCCTTTTAATCTGTTACTTACAAAATTTAAAAAAAAAGACAAACATAAAATAAAAATGAGGGATGAAAAAAAAAACTTGTTATGCATCAAGTGAATCCAAAAAAGCAGGAGTTGCTACCTATCAGACAAAGCAAAAACATTAAAAAAACAAAAAATGGATAAACAAGGAAACTATAGCATGTTGAAAGGAACCATAGATAACAAAGCAATATCAGTAATAAACTTACATACTGCAAATAAACAACTTAGCATCCAAATTCATAAAGGAAACATTATCTGAGCTTTATAATACAGACAGTAACACAATGGTGACAGGAGACTCCAACATTCCTTTATCAGTTTTGGATAAGTATAATAGAAAGGTAAACAAAAGAGAAAACATGGAACTAAACAAATTTCTGGAGAAATTCAGGTTAAAAGACTTTTGGTATCTTTTAAATGGGAAAGCAAAAGAATATACACATTTCTTTGCACCATGTGGAACTTTTACAAAAATTGTACTAGAACACAGAGATATTGCAAAAAAAAATGTAAAAAGACATAAACAGTTAATACATCTTTTGTAGATCATAATGTAGTAAGAACAGAAACTGGTTCAGGGGCCACAAACAAAAAATAGAGACCCAAATGGATACTTATGATATGGATACTAATGAAATCTTATTAAAGTAAAACAGTAAGTCACAGAAACAATAACTATGTAAAAGAAAATGATAATGAAAAAGCAACATACCAAAATTTCTGGGATACAGCTAAAGCAGTCTTCAGGAGAAAAATCATATCTTTACAATCACACATTAACAAAATAGAAAAAGAAAATATTAACGAACTGAATATGCATTAAAAAATTCTCAACAAGGAAACAAACTAAAAATAAGCACAAAAGAGGAGATATTAAAAATTAAAAGGGAAATGAAAAACTAGAAACAAAAAATCCCATTGAAATGATAAAGCTAAAAGCTAGTTCTTTGAAAAAACTAATGAAATTGATAAACCCTAAGCTTATCTGATCTAAAGAGAGAAGAAAATCAAATAAATAAAATAACAATTAAGCCAGGTGAAATCCCGCAAAGCCAGAATAAACAAAATGATCAGAACATATTATGAACAATTAAATGCTACCAAAGCTGAGAACACAGAAGAAATAGAGGAATACTTTAAAAAAATATAAAATACCCAAACTGTCAGAAGACCAGATAGAGATCTTAAGTAACTCAATCTCAGAAAAGGAAATAGATCCAACTGTAAAGAAACTGTCAAAGAAAAAAAAAATAACAATCCTGGACCTGATGGATACACAGGAGAATTCTATCAAACGTCTGAAGAACAGTTAATGTACTCTTACATCACAAATTATCCTACAAAAATTGAGAATAAACTCTATCCGAATCCTTTCATGAGACAAATATAGTCTTAATACCTTAACCAGGAAACACAGAAATAAAACTATAGGTCAATATAAATAAATAATGACTCAAAAAATTAAACACAATCCTATTGAACAAATTACTGCAATTTATCGAAGAAACCATTCATTATGATCAAGTGGGATTTATATTAGGAATACAATGATGGTTCAACATTAGGAAAATAACATAATCAAATCACAAACTAAAGCGTCAGAAACCACATAATTGTCTCACTATATGCAGAAAAAGCCTTGACAAAGTACAAAAAATTTTTTATGCTAAAAATCCTACAAAGATTAGGCATAGAGGAATGTTTTAAAAAAAAATAGAACATAAAAAAAATCTTTCTAAAACCAAAAACAAGCATCATAAGGAATGAAGATATACTAGAATCTTTTCCAATAAATATGGGAGTGAATCAAGGATGCTGACTTTCCCCACTATTATTTGATATAGTTCTGGAAATGCTAGCAATAGTAATAAGATCAGAGAAAAGAATTAAGCAATAAAGACAGGCAGAGAGGGGATAAAACTATCCCTATTTACTTATGACATGATGATTTACTTGGAAAACCCCAGGAAATTAGATAAGGTACTAATGGACACAATTCAGGCTACAAAATAAATCCTCAAAAAATCAATAGCATTTAACTTTGA